TCCTGCTGAGGCAAGAGGAACACAGACGTTGAGGCACAGGGGATGCAGTACAGGGAGGACAAGGTGAAATGCTGGCACTAGAAAAAACATTGCTGCTGCACAGAACACATTCCTGTAAAACTAGTGCTGGTCTTTTCTGTGTGCAGGTATGGTCCTAACAGTTCTAGCATAAATAAGCCCCCAAAGTCTTACCCCTTTCTGTTTAGATAATTCGAGGACAGTATGGTGTCCAGAGAATGGAGCTTCTGTACAGGGAGGACAAGGTGAAATGCTGGCACTAGAAAAAACATTGCTGCTGCACAGAACACATTCCTGTAAAACTAGTGCTGGTCTTTTCTGTGTGCAGGTATGGTCCTAACAGTTCTAGCATAAATAAGCCCCCAAAGTCTTACCCCTTTCTGTTTAGATAATTCGAGGACAGTATGGTGTCCAGAGAATGGAGCTTCTGCCTGGGGACCGGGAAAACTTGGCTATCCAGACCCGAGGGGGCCCTGAGAAACACGAAGTGACTGGCTGGGTGCTCGTAAGTACTTTGCATATATGCAGAGCTACACAAACAGTACAGTGCAGTTTGCAAGCAGCTCATGACCCACCCACAGCTGAAGAGCCCTTGTAGATCTGGCAGAACTGCACATTCCTCAGTGAAGGATGTGACCTGAGAATAGCCCAGGACACAGACATGCGCTCTTACTCAACAGACCTCTTGAGCTACAGGAGTACCTCAGCCTGACCAGTGATTACCACACCCCAGAAGGAGCTGCTGTCCATCCCAGTAAGGGAATTGCAACTATAATGGCTCCCAGCCGCAAAGAAGCTGGCAGCCCAGGAACACAGTTTAAGGTGCTGGTTCCCACACCACTTGCAAAAGCAGAGGCAAAAGCAAGAAGGGAAGATTTGAGATAACAATTTTGCTGAGCTGAGTGACCTGGGTGCAGCATGTTGTAAGAAGGCTTTTTCTTCCTGCCCCCCTCCCCTTACTAAGCACGCAGTGCTCTGACACATCTCCAAACTAAATAAACAATAAAAGGACCCCATGTAATGTGGTCTAGCAGAGAAGAAAAAAACTAGGCTGATCCCTATGGAGTGGGTTCTTGTCCCAGACCTCACTGGAGAGAGCTGCTGCCATCTGAACCACTGTTCAGGGCAGAGAGAAGTCAGGCAGTCAGTGTGGTCCCTAACAGTTAACTGCTACTTCATGCACTCTGTCCATCTCATTATGTCTCAAGCAACTAAAACATTATATACCTTCAAACATAATCACTTCTACTTATGCATAGGATACTTAACTGGGGAATGAGGGTGTGTGTTTCTTCCCCTAGATATCTCCTCTAAGCAAAGACGATGCTGGAGAATACGAATGTCACGCATCAAATGCCAAAGGAGAGGCAACAGCTTCTGCAAAAATCCATGTTGTGGAAACTCTGCATGAAATAGCCCTGACCAAAGGTAGGCATTGTGGCTCTGGTTAACACTGTCTGAAAAAAAACACAACAATGCATTCTAGAAATATCCATTTAACATGCAGCTTTTACTGGATTTGACAAAACATTCCCAGCAGATCTCAGCTGCTAGAGCTCTCAAGGGATTGTTCAATAAACCCACTCCCTCCCCCCACCAAATGCTGTAAAGTACTAGAGATTAAGATACCAAATTAAAAACACCTTTCAGTGGTTTTCCAGTCCTAAATTTGTATTGTCCTTTTAAGTGTTCTCTGGACACTTCCAAACCTGCCCATCTCTCCTAGGAGCAGTATTGGCACAACCAGCCCCAAGACAGAGAGGGAACTTCAGGCATTTAAGTTCCTGCCAAGTCCATGCACCTCCTTATCTTCCCCATCCTGAATACATCCCAGTCCCTGCCATTCTCTCTGCATGCTGGAGTGTCAAACCAGGGAGAGGACAGATATGCCACAGCAGGCCTTTAGGCAAGACATGAAGCCTTTACCCTCCAGCCCTCAGCCAGTCTTCAAACCCAGGTCCTCTTCATCAGGCTGCATGAAAAGCTGATGGCAAACTACCTTCATTCCAGCTGCAGAGGATGGCTTAGCATCACAGCCACGTGTGCTTTGGAATCAATCTGGAGAGCTGGAACAGTAACTGTAATCATGCTAGAGGAAGAGGCACTGAGAAAAAAGCATCTAGCTAGAGAATACTGTGCTGCCCAAATCTACTTTTAGACATAATTCTTTATTTTAATCCCAGTAGCTTCACTCAAACTACATAGTCTTGGCTTACTGCATCCTTATATCCCTGAATAGCTGAAAGACCTGAGGAGAAAATATTAACAGCACTTGGCATTGAAATAGGAGCATAAAATGAATCACTTACACACAGGAACTTTGCTAAAGGTTTTTAGCCAGTCTCTAATCCCTTTTCAAACATTTTATTTATGGATGTGAATGAAGTTCTCTCATGAGCAGCACATTTACACCCCAGAACACATGATGTTCACTCCCCCTCTCACAGTAACTCTACTGTGAGGTGGTAGGTACTGTGTATATTCTCTCATGGTTTATTTCTTATACCACATTACAGCTGTTTCTTTTCAGCTGTAGGAAAACTCTCAAGTAAGCATGCTGTAGCTAAGCAATAAGCTGGCAGTCCACAATTACTTTAAGAAAATTGATAACATTAATGGAACAAACTGTCCAACAACACAGCTACACAGCACATGGTTAGGGAGTCTATGTCCCATGTTGTCCAGGTGATCTCAGCACATAAAAATGCCAGCTATTACCACTCCCCTGCTGCTGCAGTCCTGCAGCAGGGCAGGAAGGAAAGGAGGAAGGAGGGGGTCAGGAATGAGTTGGAATTGTCAGGTATCACCATCAGCTAAGATACCAGGAAGTTCACATACTGTACTGCTGCCCCTTGGAACAGAACAGAGCCTAACATGTTTTTGTTTTTCCACAGATGGTGGTGCAGAGCTGTGATGCGATGTGAGGATTTTCACTTATGCACAGTTTTAAAATTAGCATTTTGGAAAGCTGCAAACTCTGGCTTTTTCTATCTCACTAATCATTCCCTCCTAACTCCCTTACTCTTTGATTACCAGTTTGCTTGCACACTTCTTTCATATATACACGAATAAAAAGATACACAAGTCTGATTACAAATTTTAATTCTATTTACAGAAAATAAACACTTTTGAATAGCACGCAATAGACGAGTAAAACTATTTTAAATGCAACCTACACAAAATGAAACAAAACTTAAGCACTTCAGTCTCATTGTTTTTTTTTAAAAAAATGCCCTTTTAAAGGCTAAACACTCATCATACGAGGTGCAATACTCATAGACATCAGTTCTTGGAAGAGCAGTTTGCAGGCATAGGGCATTCGAACCAAAGATATCTGGAAAGAGATTTCAAAAGGCTTATGATAAGCACTCTTAAGGCATCAGCTTCCACCACCCTCTACACAAATAACTTGACAAGTTTTTGGCTCAAACATGAATCTGAAGTTATGTATGAAAGCATTTAACAGGAATTGCTCAGTCAGCAACAAAGCAAGAGAGAAGCTGAGACTGACTCTAGAGGCTACACAGCAGCTACCCAGAACACATTTTTACTGATAAAACCTGCAGCCAAGGGATCTGGTCTTTAACGAGCCCATTTAACAAGGGAACACGTGTCTGATGTGCAGTGAATGCAGCTCAGATTTCCAATACGTCTCTTCATTAACCCCAATGCCACTGTTAAGAGTTGCAGCAGCCAGTCCCCAGTGCAAGAACAAGTCTGTTTAAGGCAACTATTTTTATCTGTGCTGGCACTCTCCCTTGACATGGTTCTGTAACCAAACACACACTACAGAGCTTTTTTATTTAAACAAAAAAAAGTGCAACACAAAAGACCTCCCATGGGGACTCAGCTCTGCAAGCATAAATGTCTTCAAGGGGACAGTCACAAGGGCGACGGCTCTAAATTCCTGTTATTCTGAGTTTTACTTCTAAAAATAAGCTCTGAAGCATTTACTTTTAAAGTCTCTGAAAACTCTACACTGCAAAGGAACAGCATTTCCTGCCAAGTGACAAGCCAACATTGTAAAATTAATAGGGAAACATCCAAATTAACTAGGAGACTATAAACACTTAAAACAGTTACGAAACTAAAATAGCAACTGATCTGCTTCTTCTTTAAATATTTACTTCCCTATCCTCCACGGTTCACCCAAGTGGTATTTCCTCTTACCCACAAAAAGAAGCATTGGCTGATGAAGACCACACGTACCTGAGTTTTATTACGGCATCCCCGGCATTCATAGGTGTGAGTCCTTGTGTTTGCAATCGCCATGATTCCACACAGGTTACAGACATGGACTTGGTATGGGTCTGAAGCTTCAAACAATCTCTCTCTCAAGAACTGGGCAGCCCCATGAGCAATCTGGCAATCTCGCTCCATTTCTCCAAAACGAAGGCCACCATCACTAAAAAAGGAAAAGGAAAAAAAAAAACCCAAACCCTCAACTTTTGAGCTCAGTGGCAAAAATACATCAGTAGTTGTTGTTGGAACAAATTAAGTATATTTTCAGAAACACAGCAGTGTTACAAGGCAGGAGTAAAGCTGTGTGTTAATTTTCCTCTAACACCTTAGCATAAAACTCAGCCATTCTCCTTGACACAATGATTTGTAACTGCTGCTGAGCATTTCTAAAGCAGCTGTCAGACAGCTAACAGCTGCAGCACAACCATACAGCAAACTGAGGTAAACAATTAAATCATTCTCTACTTATCTGTGATGGATTTAACCTTGGCTAGCTGCCAGATGCCCGCCAAGCAGCTCTAGCACTCCCTCACACTGATAGGATGGGGACAAAATAAGATGGAAACTTTGTGGGTCAAGAAGAGAACAGGGAGATTGCTTAGCAGTTACCATCACAGGCAAAACGCACTCAGTGTAGGG